GCTTACTCATTGGGAGGGGTCCGGACTCGGCACGACTCAGGTATTAGTCGTAAGGTCACCATGAGGCAGGTCAGAGGGTAGGACATGAGGCAGAGAACTCTGACCAAACGATGGTCAATAGGTACCTGGTCTGTGCACCGTTGTATTAGTATATATAGTAGGGAGTCTGAGGCAGGGAACCTCAGACTTGATCTTCTCGTCGATCCCCCATCTCCTCTGTAGGTAGCTAGCAGCCCTACCTTCTACTGCCCCTTCTAGTCTAGGGAATACACCTCTTCACATCTCTTGCTGTGTCACCTAGGGTTGCTTCGCTTCTCAGCACCAACCTCTGCACCAGTAAGCTTTGCCCTTGTTTGTTTTGGTGGCACAGCTCGTTGGCTGTGACAGGAACCCTCTATCTCTTCGGACGAGGAGGTTGAACAAGCTATCAACTCCACATCCTCCGAAGAAGAAGAAACACCTATCGATTGTCGAGGACTACCTCATATCTTCGAGCTAGAGGAAGAAAGAGACTATCATAGCGAAGAAGACGGGTGGTACCCTTGCGACGAAGAGACCTGTCCCAATCGTCTCTCAGGACCACTCAATCCAGCAGACCTTCCTGTCAGCTTCCCCTTCGCCCTCTGCTCCGATCCTCAGACAACCGAACCGTTTATCCGCGCTGCTGCCTTTGGACTACCGGACTCAGAGCCTCCAACGCCAGTCCCGGTATCCATCCCTCTTCACTATCTCGAGCAAGACTTCGATTCTTTCTTTCGCGCTCCACCTTCATCGCAACCAGACGACTTCTTCGATCGTCATCTCCTACTCCATTCCCTCGTCATGTCAGACAAAGTCGACTCGAGCTCTCTCTCCTCTCTCTCCAACATCAACCAGTACCCCAACTGGGCTGCGCAGATGAAGGGCTATCTCATCATGATTGGTTCCTGGACTGTCACCAACTCGGCACCCACTACTACGGCTACTACTGCAACGGCTGAAGAACTTAAGGAGCATGACCTTAAGGTTCAACGGGCCCAGGGTATCATCATGATGAAGGTCGATCGTTCACTCCATCGTCCCCTCGAAGATGATGCTGGCAATCCCAAGCAACCGCATGCGATGTGGAAGGCTCTCAAGGACACCTTTGGCACTCCTGACGCCGCTGCTGTCTAGTACAAGTTTGAAGGCCTTATCGCTTTGGATCGCATGAATGACCAGAAGCCCATCCAGCACCAGTTTGACCAACTCGTCACTCGTCTCAAGGAGATTAAGGATAGCGGCCTTGCACTCCCTGAGAACCTTCAGGCGATGCTTGTCCTGTCCAAGATCCCTGAGTCCTATCGCAACCTGATCTCTGGCCTCCTCACCTCGGTCGAGCTCAAAGACCTCAAGGTCGATACGGTTCGCGAGAAGACTCTCGCCTACGAGAATATTCAGAGGACGGGTATGGCAAACTGCACTTCGGCGACTCGTGTTTCTCAGACCAAGCCCAAGAAGAAAGGCCCTTGTGGTCACTGCGGCGGCAAGACTCACGATGAATCTTCTTGTTGGAAGAAGTATCCTGAGAAGAAGCCGAAGGGTGGGGGGAACAAGAAGGACGAGAAGGGCAAGGGAAAGGACAATGGACCTCCGCATAATCACTCGCACACTACCGTCAATGAGTCTTCGTCAGCCAATGTACTAGTATCTACTACTGCTGAAGCTTCGCAATCGATCTCCGCTTCTTTCTACGGCTCGTCTTCGGACGATTATCGGTTGACTACTTGGCTGATGGACTCAGGTGCTTCGGAACACATCACCCCTTACTTCGACGACTTCGACACCTATGAGGAGTTTGCCTCTCCAATGGTCTTCGGCACTGCTGCAGCCGGTTCGCCACTTTATGCGCCCGGT